GGTAGTTTACTGGTGAATTTACTCTGAGTGTTATCAGCGTAATAAATTAAGGAATCCTCGCTGGTAAGATGTGCGTACGTCTGTTTCAAACTCATAACTAAATTAACCCGTATAGGTATCTTCTTAAATACTAAGGTGCGAGGCGAGTCTATCGAATATCTTTCGGCTCATTGATCTAGAAGTAGGATTCTCAATTTGGCTGTGAGCGGTCTCGGGGGTCGAATCCCGGACGGGCCTATTTTTAAAAAAATGATTTCATTTTAATTACCGTGTCTTTAAATTTCAGAGATATCCTTCACATTCACCCAGGAGTTGAACTTTTTGGGCCAGAATTTCCACTTGATTAACGCTAATCTATTGTTTGGTAATCGTCCCTTATATTTAAGAATATGATCTATTTGAAATAACTGATCTGGTTTAGTGGTTACCCCATTCAATTCTTCGTTATAAAACGTTCCTTTTATGTCATCGTCGTTATAATCCATCAATTTATAAACGGGAACACCACCTCTCATATATTTACTTTTAATTTTGAATATTTCACCCGTCCAGCGTGCGTGATATTCTTTCTGAAATGGATGACGTAATGTAGATATACGTACTAAATCGCCAGCTTTAAATTTAAAAGTAACTTTTGCTTTTCTTTTCCTCGCAACATTTTCTTTCTTGATATTTGCGTTTTTAATACGGTCCCGTTGGTCACGTTGCTCTTGTCTCGTCAATTGGTCGTGCATAACTTCGTATTGGGTAGCCTCATTCACGCTAGATGGTGCTCTTCCAATAGTTCTATGAAATGTATTGTTGTAGCCATTCACTATGTCCATTAGAACATCGACGTATTGGTTGGTTTGATTAGCAATCATGTACCTATGTAACCGTGTCGCTAACGTCTTAATAACTCTCTCGACGTAATTTGACTTTTTTTCATTGAGACTGAAAATTTGGGTGATACCTAAACGTTTCAAATATGGTTTCAAGATATTGTTGTCGAATTCTCGACCCATATCTAGGCGCAAGATGGTGGGTTGTTTAGCTGCCCCTAAATCATCTAAAATGTGTTTGAGAGCTTTAAATGTCTCCTTGGCAGTTTTCGTTTTTAAAAGTTTTGTGTGGACAAATTTGCTGAAAATATCGATTGTAATTAATATGTAACTGAAGCCATTGTTATATGCTTTCAATTTGCTAAAATCGATCAGATCGGCCTCCATCATATAATGAATTCCTAATGTCTCGACAGGACTTCTTTTAAATTTTCTCCTGACGGGTTTATACATGGTATACGCTTCAACACTGTTCAAGAAATCTTTCACCATTTTTAATGTTATGTCATTTCTAAACTCTTTAATACTTTTGTGGAATTTAGATGGTGATGTAAAACTTCCATTAAATGTAGGGTCGTAATATAGGTTACTAAGATAATCACGGACGTTCTCCGCCATGACAAAACTAGAAATGAGTCAAGACTTATGATTTGGCTTTTTATAAGTAAATTCTAGTGGTCCTTTAAATTTTTTTCAAAATGTGGTTGTTTTGTAACTTTGCATTTTTTGGACACCTATCTACTTGTTTATTACCTCGTATAATATGTACCATATAAGCCAAACAAAATATAAAGTTAATTTACATGATCCTTTATTAAGCATAGGTTGCTTTAAGAATACGTATACAGTGTTATAGAATAGTCACTGGCCCTTTTTAAATGGTTCACTGACACTGAGTTTTCATTTACCTATTATATAGAAATAACGATCGAACCGATCTCATTACAGGCAGTATAATTAACGAGACGAACTTATTGTTTAAGTCACGCCCCACGTGCCACAACATCTAAGAAATCAATCGAGCCTGTACCGGCGGGTACGGTCTTACCTATTATCGATTACCAGTCAACGACTGACGCGTTTTTATTAATTTTACTTCACCGGCTGTCAATATTTCGTATCAAATTACCAGAACCTGTACCGACGGTACAGGCTTTCAAGGTTAAACGGCTTTTTAGCGGTCAACCATCGATTTTAATTAACCTAGTTCAACAGTGATTAATAAGGTCGGTCACGTGGTCAAAACTCGCCCAATCAGAGCGTAGGCGCGTGGTTTAAACTGCCCAATCAGCGTGGACCCCTGAAAAACTCCCAGAATGCATCAGGGGTCACCCCGGGTCACACTATATGATTTACTACTGATGTTAAATAGCCAAATGGGAAAGGGGTAAAATGTGCATCTGTTAAGTATCTGTACAGGGTACTAATCATAGAGACTAATTACGTATCTTTTAAAAGCTCGCTTAAAAATAAAAATGGTTTAGGAATTTTAGATAAATCTGGCCTGGAATTGAATTCCAGATTATTCCCCCTGAGTCTTAATGCTTCGTTTGCCATAGTAAGTTCTAAATTTGGAAATATGAAGATTGTCAGTCTGTCTTGTATTGTGGTCATGTATGTGCTGATTTGCTTGAAAATAATTGCAAAATAAGTGATTAGGAAAATTGTCTGGACGTTTGGTGCATTTGTTGCACTGATAAGAACACTGAGTTTAGTTAAAATAGAGATTATGATGGTGCTTCATTATATTCACTGTTACTAGCTAAACGGACACATCTTTCCTGCAACTTCAATATGATATCAATATGTGTCTTCCCTCCCCTCCCCTGGAATGCAATATTGTAATTGTGAGTAAATAATTGAGTAGTGATATTCATTAATGATTTAACATTAAGTTTGTTTTTTATTCGACCAAAAGTTGTAATGGAACTTAGTAAGAAAAAGCAAACTCTTAGTGCATACCAGTCAAGAAAAACAACCCCCATATATCCCAAAACCATGATCTAACGTGAAAAAAAACAATGTGTAATACCCCCTTTTCCCCCACACTTCAAGAACCAATATCACAATCCAAGACCAGAACACCAAGAGACATCTCATTCATACTGAAGTCATTACAATACATGGTGAAGAAAAAAGTAGAAATTGATAGCCAATACTCATAACATCAAAAAATAGTTGTAGATACTGTTACAAGTACTCATACAAGATAGAGCATTCAGTCTCAAATGATGTGGGATAGAAAAAATCCAGTCTCCAAGTCCATAGGCGTTTTAAAGGGTCAACATCCATTCACAAAAGCCATAGCCATGTTCGAAATAGAGAACCTATGGCTTTTGAAATTTTTAGTGCAATTTGGTGTCTAGTGGTGGTGCAAGTGGTGTCTAGAGGCTAAATCATTTCTTCCGAATATTATAGTAGTACTAGTTGGCCATTTAATTCAATTTTCAATAATATTTTTTTCTGAAAGGCTACGAATTCACACTGGCGCAAATGTGTATCTTTTAGAATCAGTATTTCTATAATGAAGTGTTTTTTTAAATTTAAGTTTTAAATAAAATAAGATTAGTGTAAGAATGAACGGGGTACACATATAAAAATAAAAAATAAATGAAGGAACGTTATACTCTTTTATGATCAATATTTGATTGTGCTGAGTCTTGGCCCATATGGACAAACTAGTGACACAAACTGAACAAACAAATGCTAACTTAATTGACATTTTAGACGGTTATATCTTAGATTATTACGCTCAGGCTGACCACGAAGATATCTTTAAGATCCATTTATTATCCGAAAGAAGTGTATATACAATGATAATTAATAAGTCAATTACTGAATTAGGTATTGCGCGCGGTGCAAATCTGCATGTAAATGTAATTAAAAAGAGAACCCCATTTGCCTGAAATAACCTGTTGATATGAATTGTTGTATATTAATTACATGTTATGTTTAAAATCTTCACTTATGTAGAGAAAATAAAGATACTGAAATAAACTTTACTGAGCCATTGCATTGAGTATAGTGTTGACAAAAATTCCTAATAAACTTGCGCATCGTATCTGTTTTTCTATTTCCAACTTTATTATCGGGTGTTTTAAAGATTATATAATTTTGCTTACAAGCCGCTTGACAGCTGGTGGCGTACTCGGATTAATTGGAAATATAACATTTTATCAATAATCCAACAGTATTTTAACTCGTAAAGTAAAACTCAAATCCATCGTGTAATGGCTTATAATTATTCACAATAGACCTTTCCAATAAATCCTGACCCCTATTTGTGAACCAAGGAAACTAGGGTATATTGGTTAGATTCATGATGTCATACTTTACAGGCAGCAACGTTTGTAAATAAGATTGAAAGAAGTTTTGAAAATTAACAATATTTTAATCCCATTTCTACACTGAAATTGTAAGAATGACATCATAACCAATAGATGGCATGATATACTGGATTGGTCTATTGAATGAAGTAAAACAGCGATGGTAACTTTGATTCAGATCTTTTTCTATGGCCGTCATTTTTTGTAAAAATGTAATCTTTGGTGGAAACTCAAATACAAGTTGTTGGATTTTTTGTTCAATTTTCTATGCAAACAGCAATCACAAGGCTCCGAAAGTACCATCGCATTTTGTTCAATCGGAATCGAAAATGACAGACAATTTGATGAGCGTCAAAATTGACAGTGTTATCGATTACTTTGGCATACATTGTGTACTTTCTTGTTTTGGTTACCTTTAAATAATAGCTATGTTTAAATATATGACGTATAGATATGTCTTTGTAATCACTGTAGATTGGTATGTCATCCCTTTTCATGCTCATAAAATGTATACATTTTTTAAGCAAACAAGTTTGTGTTTTTTTCTTGAGTTTGTGTTTGTTTGCCTTGTACCCTTGCATGATTTGGATTTTGCCAGGACGCAAAACAAAGAATTTACTTCTTATGGCTTATACCAGTTATCAGATCTTGTCTAAATTTCATAGGCAATTACTTTATTGAAATGGGACCTCTGTCCAAGGTCAAGATAGAGTTTAAATATTGGTGATTAATACCAAAAAATGACCACCATTTTTGTAAAAATATGATTTTTAATAATTCAAATTCCAGATGTCAGGTTTTGTTGAGGTTTCATGTGCTAATACTAAGAACTTTATATCATTATCAATTTCAGCTTGCAAAATTCAACTGAGCCCAAATGCCCTCCAGCAGCTTAAGATGCACAAAGGATTTTTCACAGCTGAGAGGGGACCAACCGAGGTTAAGGTAATCTACGAATGTACAGGGTGCTCTAAAAAATTGGACACTCCTATTTCAAAAATAGTGTAGATATATTACAGGGTATCGAACGTTTCAGTGTTGATGTAGCAAACCATCCGACTGTTCTGTATTGATAAAGGGCGACTATCGAACGTTTCAGTGTTGATGTAGCACGACTATCAAAATGTTATGTGTTGATAAAGGGCGACTATCGAACTTTTCAGTGTTGATGTAGCATGCATGACTATCAAATTGTTCTGTGTTGATAAAGGGCGACTATCGAACTTTTCAGTGCTGATGTAGCATGACTATCAAATTGTTCTGTGTTGATAAAGGGCGACTATCAAACTTTTCAGTGTTGATGTAGCACGACTATCAAATTGTTCTGTGTTGATAAAGGGCGACTACCGAACTTTTCAGTGCTGATGTAGCATGACTATCAAATTGTTCTGTGTTGATAAAGGGCGACTACCGAACTTTTCAGTGCTGATGTAGCATGACTATCAAATTGTTCTGTGTTGATAAAGGGCGACTATCGAACTTTTCATTGTTGATGTAGCACGACTATCAAACTGTTCTGTGTTGATAAACACAGCAAAAAATGTGAATCAAACCACTGAATCCTGGAGTCAGGATTCATACAGGATTCATATGCACATATGAATCCTGTATGAATCCTGCCTCCAGGATTCATACAGGATTCGCTGTTTAAATAGTTTACAAATGAATCCTGCCTTCAGGAATCATACAGGATTCATATGCAATATAGTTTACAAATGAATCCAGCCTTCAGGATTCGTACAGGATTCATATAGAAGGTAGTTTGCAAATGAATCCTGCCTTCAGGAATCATACAGGATTCATATGCAATATAGTTTACAAATGAATCCAGCCTTCAGGATTCGTACAGGATTCATATAGAAGGTAGTTTGCAAATGAATCCTGCCTTCGGAATCATACAGGATTCATATGCAATATAGTTTACAAATGAATCCAGCCTCCAGGAATCATACAGGATTCATATGCAATATAGTTTACAAATGAATCCTGCCTTCCTGAAGGCAGGATTCATTTGCAAACTACCTTCTAAATGAATCCTTACATCGTACGTATCTGGATTTCGTTCATAATTGATTAATCTGTTAATGCGTTCCTCTAAGTAAATGAAACAATCATCACATCGTGTTTATAAGTGTAATTCAAGGGCGTATAATCTAACATGTCTAATGCTACTCATTTCATGGTATTACTTTCCGATCATTTGATAAAATAGAATACAATCAACATGTGGAAATCACGGATGACGGGAAAAACAATATTGTATAAATAGAATATATTTTAATAAGAGATTCGTAATGTAAGAGATTCGATATTTAACAGATATTTAGAATGAATTGCGACATTATATTCCAAATTCATGAATAAACTGTACGTATCTGGATTTCGTTCATAATTGTTTAATGGTTCCTCATAGATAGTAATAAAGTCATCACATCGTGTTCATTAGTGTTAATTCGAGGTTGGATAATGTTTTTATAATATGATGTTATAATTTTACATTTTATTTGTGTGTCTGAGTGAGGCTAAATTGAAAGTAAAACCTGTATAATCAGACGGGCAAATCACGATGAGGACAAATAATTATTTAAATTAGTAAGATAAGTCTGTACATGTAGATCGTTCGTTGAAGTTGGACCGTCGGTGACTTTTATTCCTAGATTTCGTATCCCTCTCAAACAAAAGTCAAAGCCAAATATAGTTGAACTGTTTTCGGGATTATTATTCATTTGTTGTAATACAGATTGACTTATAGACTGATATTGTAATGGGTTGTGCTTGGGATTCACAGAATTATTCTATGATAGTCTCAGGATATATTGAAATGCGGATGTTTACATTAAAGATCTTGCTTTCAAACAAAAATATTGAAGTACTAAGATCGGATATTAGCGTACCCCAGTGGAAAAGAATCAAAAGATATTCCAATTTAACGCACTGCACAATAATTTGTCATTTTGGAAATTCGTCAATATGACCTTACCATTTTGATCTTAATAATTTAAAATTTAAACAAGCGCTACCCCCCCCCCCCCCCCAGAACTAGCCTTCCCGGTAAAGCCAATACGACAGATATCTAAGGAAAGTTTCATTTTTATTCTTGATTTCTCTGACTCGGTATAGTTGAAATGATAAACATAAATTGCAATTATTATTACTTTGCTCTTTCATTTTGCTCAGTCATGATCAACGCCTTCCTTAAATTTTCTGTCAGATCATCGATCCCAGACTTCAGCAAATATTCCAATCATATTTTGCGTTTTATCGTCTTTCCCAAAAGCTATACGAATATGGTACTACAACTACTTAATGACAGTGGTTTATCGTTATTTTTGCAAATATGGATGTTTACACTGCTTGAATCTTATTCTAGGAAGTTTTATAGAGACGGGACTTCCTTTTCACAATGCAATTATATCTGTTTTGTAGGTTCCCGTGGGTAAGATACACACAAGAACAATACGGCCCATCCAAAAGGGACAGATCCGTCAGTGGCGTTCTTCAAATTATAGCCCGTGGAGATATAGTTTATGAATCTTGCCTCAAGTGACGTGTTAAATCCCATATTGGGTTTGAGAAAGGGCCCGTATACACAGCCCGATACACAGTTGCTCGATACAAGTGCAAACTATAAAATAACCATAATATAACAATTATAGATAAATGTTTGGCATGCATTGTTTCTGTTTAATTGTTAAATTATTTGATAACTTATAATAAGCAGATAAGTTGCTTTTCAGGTATTAAGCGGCGATTAAGGACTGAAAACCAGCGTCACACATTTCTTCGGATATTCCTCCATAAGCAGATATACCTGTTTGCATGTTTTAATTTTGATTTGATTTGATTGTTTGAATTAGATAAAGTCTTTAAAATGTTACTAGTGTTTGGGGGGGGGCTGAGATTTCATGTAGGAATTAAAATTAGAATAAGATTTAAATACGATCTGTTTTGTTTGCATCGTTGTATAACGTTGATAAAACACAAAGGGCAGCATTGGAATTACAAAATTGTGCGATTCCCTACCTCCCAAAATTATTCAAAATTATATTTCTGTCATTCTGATTTCCGTGTCGGGACATTCTGATCTATTAGAGTCTCACTTTATCTAACGCTTTGGTATTCCAAAGGATTGTACTTGCCCGGGAGTACTTGCTGTATATCACGTCGGGAGATTAAACCTCCTGGATTAAACCAGTGAATGTTCCGATCGTCGTAACATTCGATACACCGAGAGATTTCCCAGATTCATACATGCATACTGTATATTCAGCAGGAATTTTACATACTTTATCATTCCCTTCTTAATATATCGTATAATATTTGTATTCTGTTTCACAGATTCCCCTTGAAATACAAGGTAGACTAGATGCGAGTAGAAATAATTTTGATTTACGTCATTAAATATTCAAAATTCAGTCAAAGTGATGTCATAATTTGAAATCTACATGAAAAAGTACATCTAAAAATACGGTTTCGAAAATTGTTTATCAAATTTGAAAATTACGACAACACGGGCAATATATGGCAGGTTAAATGAGTCGTCAAGATTATAACACGCCGGTCTTTATGTTACAGTTGATGAAAGTACAATGTCAAAATCTCATGATGATTTCTTCCGACCTGTGTTTACTGACAAGAGAGGGGTGCGCAGTTGTTGAAGCGAGTATAAACTAAGAAAAATCCAAAGTCCGATAATTAATTAATTGGCATGGATCTGCTAATTGTTTTCGTTATTGTTACTTGTTCTATCTAGACGGTTTTATCTGCATCGATATGGCTGATTATAAGGCATGAACATTTTTCCCAGTTGTGTTAATTGTTATTCTTTAATAAGCGGATTTATATGTTTGAAATATTTATTATCCATTTTTCATTTTGATATACTTTTCAAAGGACTTTTTGTTCTATCTAGATGTGTTTTGTCTATACTAATCTTTAACAGGAGTTAGCTTATTCCATATAGCCTACAATTGATTTTAATTCATAAAGTTTGCTGATAATTGACTTAAGTATGGTAAAGCTCTCGAAGAGAGCATGTGCATGATCGCCAATAAAATTGCATTCTTTGTTTTGTTTTGACAGTTAGTTTAGAACTTTAGCCACGCGAAGTATACACGCAAACGCTTGTGTACTTTTGAAACATTAACTTGCAAGGCTCAAAGTCATTTCCATCTCCTCCGGTGTTATTTCTGTGGTAGAGGTTTTTCAAAAATAATTTAAAACTTTTGAGACCTTTGGGGTATAGGATATACGATCAAATCACATGTCCTTCTATTTTTAGTTTTTTTCCTGAGGGATAAGAAAATAAAAATCAAACATAGAGAGGCAAAGACGTAAAAATGTGGGGAAGTTATTTAATTTATGCTTTTCTATGAATATAATTGCGACCTCCATGACATTTGACAAAGTCAGACCCCTAGTCAGAGAAGGGGGTGGGGGGGGGTTCAAGAACGCCTTTCTCCAAAATTTATTTAAAATCGTGCAGTTTTTCATCATTCTGAGCTTTTTTTTAAACTTAAGTGATGACCAATTTTGTTTAATGTGAACCCCCTGCCCCCATCACTCTGGAAGTGATCATGATACACTCAATCCACAAGGTGGGTCTAAAGATGAAAACCTAGACGATCTCTGTAATCAAAGGCTAAGACGATATTTTCTATAATCAGAGTCCTAGACGACTTCTGCTGCAATCAGAGTCCTGGATGATGTTCAGACTTTTCTGTAATCAAAGTAGCCAAACATCCGCAGAGCACGGAAATTGATGGATAAGTGAATGGTCTTTTGTTTGTTTTCTTAACTATTGTAAGGAATAAAATTAAGATTTAAATGTTCACCCCCCCCCCTCCTCCGTTTAATTTCGATTCAAACAAAATCAAACGGGAATGATTATCTTACAAGGTACGCTGAGACTTAAGACAATAAAAGACGATAATTAACCTGATTGG